AGATTTCTCGGATGCACGCCAGTTTTCATTTGTGACTTCTGAGTAACTTGATTTGATTTACTCCCGCTAATATCAATTACCACTTGTCGATAAATTCGACCCATTGATAAATATATCTTGATTAAGGAAGCGCGATTAAGTCCAAGAACAAACTAAATATCGTTAACCATCGACGATTTAACGTATTTTACAAAACGTACTTCATATAAGCAATCTGGTTTATTGGATAATACAACGTCACCGTTGAATAACTCAAACTGACAATGGGATAATTCCGAGAATTACCTAACTGCTGATGGTCTTTCCGAGAATTGATTAAAATTCATGACCTTGATCTGTTTCTACGAATATTACTGGTAGAAATCCGATAGCAATGACTTTCTTTGGTCGTTGTTTTTGTTTTGTCATGATCACCCTACCGCTAAGTCAGCTTTTCAAATCACTGACGTCAGTAAATGACTGTGGAATTTCACAAGCGACGCGAGATCTGCATACTGCAGCTGCATCCTCGGTAATCGCGTGACAACATTATCCTAAAACCGGTTTTGTCGACCAAAGACTGACTGTTGTGGTTACCTGATAGACATTTTCGACTAGTGCCATTCATTTATTGTCATTCATACCTCTATAGCCTTTAAATTTGATAATAGGGAATCACAGTTACCGCGAGTCGAAAATTATAAAATTCATCGTGTCATCTTTGGGTCAAATAGTTATTCTCCCACATAAAGCTAATGCTATGTGGAGCCTCATGTCAGTATCATGTCAATAGTGAAGCCAAAGATGGCGTCGCAGGAACCGACCCCTCAAGCACCTTCGGCGACTTTGGGAGAGATTTCGCCTCATTTTGACGAACTATTGCGAGATGTTACCGATGCACTAACCGCTGAAGAACTCAAAGATGTTGTTGCATCCATAAAGAACACCCTAGAAGTAAATTCTCAGGCTAAAACAGACCAAGATTTGTATTCCCATCTCCGACTGTTTGCAACTCAAAAAATTTTGTCTGAGGAAAATTTAACCTTGCTGGAGAGATTTGTAGCTTGTAAATCATCAAAGAAGGAGGGTATCACAAAGAGAATCGAAAAATTCAAGAAGAACCATCTCCAGAGCGGTGAGCCAAAGGTATCAGGACAAGCAATAAAAGGTAGAGACCTCGATTTGAATTTAATCATGGCCAAACTGACCGGAGCGAAGGAAATCGTCAATTTATATGGCTCCGGTGGTGTGGGAAAGACAACCCTGGGAAAAGAAATTTCTCTGCGGTGGCCAGGACAGTCCATCTTTGTCGACATGAGGGAGGTTGCGGAGATGAAAGACGTTTACTTTCAGATTATGATGGCACTGGACACGAAAAGGACAGTTTTAACTTACGACGAAAATCCAGTCATCAACCAACTTCGAAAACTGAGGAAGGAAAGTCCAGGCGATGTTTTGTTACTCCTGGACAATGTGGATAATTTTTCTGGTGGAAATGGCGATCTTTTGAAGACCCTGAACGATAAGATGGTTAAACTGCTACAAACGCTTATCAAAGACAAAGATAGGAACGTGAAGGACGATGAGGGAATCGCTAGATTGAAAGTAGCTTTGATATCCAGGACACGTTTCCAAGGGCTTACCCCCTGCGAAAGCGACTGCTATGAAGTGAAAGCTTTAGAGAAAGGGTTCTCGCAAGAGTTGATTCTTCAAAAGGCAGGAGAATTATCTGTCTTACAGATGGGAAAAATTGAGAAAATTGTGGACATGTGTAAAGGGTACCCACTTCTTCTAAATGGCATGGCGGCCACTCTTCGACAAAAGATAGCAGCTGGTGAGAAGTTTCTTAGAATGGTTGAAGACGAACTGACGACATCGGAGACTGACGAAGGTGAAACTTTCCTCTCACCAGTACAGAATCAGCAGGAAAGAGAAGCGTGGCAAAGTCTCAGTAAGGAGATTGGTGAAGGAAAGCTCTCTTGTCTAAGAAAGATGTTCTTTTTCCTTCCAACCATCAACCTTAGATCATCTGCCGTGGCATTATCGCTGTTTTGCTATCCATTCTCTGAGGAAGCCGCTGCTTCTGTCCTTGGTGTAGAGTCTTCTGAAGCAGTCATTGTACTAGAAGGTTTGAGAAGTAGCGCGGTGTTATCAGTGGATCCTGATGCAAAGGAGCTCCTTTATGATATTCATCCCTTGATGCGTAGCTTCTTGAGAAGTATAGGAAATACCGGTAGTCCAGTATTCAGAAAGGCCTACGACGCAGCCAAAGATAGGTTTCGCGAGCTTTACTTTTCAAAAATGATATCTATCGCGGCATTGCTGGATAAAGACTACGTAAGTGCATTTGAGTATTTTGACCATAACAAGCTTAACTTTGAGTTGGCTTTAGACCTCCCCTTCAAAGCGGAAAATTTTCATCGTTTGAAAGAACATCATGAAAGGGCCATTATCTACCACCTTTTTGAAGCAATGCTTGACAACAAACAGAGAGAGAAGATTTTCAAATCGTGGACAGAAGCAACGGAAGAGGACGGAAGAGAAGGTGGGAAGAAGTTTTTGTTTAATTGATATCTGTTTCCATTTTTGCCCCATACGCTACTAATTCTCTAGCACTTGACTTGCACGATAGCTAATAGAATAATCTAGTGTGAGCAATGATTACTTCTTGATTACTTAGAACTGTAAAGACTTGACCTGGGTATAGCTTTTCCTAGATGTAGGGCATGAGTGTGCAATGGAAGTATTCCTTGCAGCAAGTTTTATTAGCCTCCTACATTTGGGATACTAGTTTGATTGCAGTATTTTCACAGATGAGATGTCCGAAAAAAGAACTAGTTACTGTTGGTTGTAGAGAGAAATTTTTTTAAGAGGCTGATTTTTATAAATTGCACTTTCCAGGTTCCATCTTTCGCATGGAAGTGAGATCCCACGAGGCAATGCAAGCTCTTGAAATCTATGGATGGAAGAGGGCAACTGAAATCTTGAAACTCGCGGAGGAGTCCTCTCTGAAAGTAGATAAGGAGATAAAGAACCAAGATCCTTACAAATTTGCTTTTGCTACTTACCTGTACGTCAAAGGCGAGATTTCTTACAAAAAAGGAAGTGTACCGGAAGCGCTCAGAAGTTTGCGTTTTTCACTTGATTTGATGGAAGACCTCGTCGGAAACCACACAAGTACCACGAAATGTTTAAATGCGATTGGAAACTGCTACAATGAGCTTCGAAACTTTCACGATGCGATGAAATTTTACACAAGGGCTTATGAAATGAGAAAAGCTCTTTCAGCTTCAAATAACCATCTGGATTTGCCATTTTTTATCGGCCAGAGAGGTACGGTTTACGAAATGCAAAAAGAATATGACAAGGCCATCACGTGTTACGAAGAAGCTCTGAAACTTTCCAAGCAACTAAAACGCTCGGGAATCTTGCGCTTGGCACTTTATCACAGAAACATCGCCAACGCTTATGCATGGAAAAATGAATTTGAGAAAGCTTACAAGTCAGCAATGGATGCATTAGAGATAAGACGAGACATATTAGGTGACCATCCCGACACGGCGAGGAGTGCATTTCAGGTAGGACAGATCTGCAGAAATTTAGACCAATTGGACGAAGCTGAAGAATTCTTAGAAGAGGCATGGAGAATTGAGAAATCCTTGGAGATGGGAAACCACAGTGCAGTGAGAGATCGCATTATACAGAGCTACGAGAAAGTCCTTAAGAACGGCAGGCAATACGAGTTCCAGAAAGAGGCCTTGGAATTTTATGAAAGGCTGTGGCAAGAAGACAAAGAATTTTCCTACGCTAAGAAGAGTATCATCGATCAGATCATCGAGCGGCTCGATGAGTCTGAAGACCGAAAAATGAGCAAATACAGGAAGGAGGCTCTGGAGTTTTATGTAATGGCTTGGAATTCGCCAGATCTGCAGCAACTCCCTCGAAACCAGCGTGAAGAAATCTTGCAAATTATTTTGTACTTAAGTAAAGTACTTCGTGAGAAGGAACTGCACAAGAAATTCCAAGGCGAGAAATTTGAATTCTTTGAAAAGCAATGGGAAGAGAGAACTGTCATGTCTGCTCAGGACCAAAGAGACATTCTTTGTACTCTTCAAGGCTTAGCCACACAACTGGGTGATGAAGGAAAGAGTGAGAAATACCAGAAACTATACGAGGTTAGGAATGAGGAGTCTTATGTATTTAGGAAGTGAACAAAGATGCATGTAAGCCATTAACGGATAAGTCTTCCAAAGATATCAAAACTAGTTATTCACGTACTACTTTTAAAAAGTACAGTAGGATTCCTTAAGCAACTGACTCTCTAATAAGACAGGAGTGTAATCTGGTAATTGTGTGCACGACTCCTCCATTTCCATGTGGTTTTAGGTGCAGTGTGACCTTTATGATTGGCGGCTTAAAGTTTCCAAGTTCGCAGCTGGTCTTATTGTGAATAAGAAATGAGCGTGCACAAGATATCACCTTGATCTGATGGTCAAATGCTTGCACCAATCTGAGCCTTGTGTTTGACCTCTATCAAAATTAATGTTGACACGAATTTGTTTTTAAATTCACCATTGCAGGAATGCGAGAAAGGGAAAAATTCTCAACCGTCTATGCAGTTGAAGATTGTTCCAGGTACGTCAATGAAAGCACAGTTTTCCATTGGATTAGCTGGTGGATGTAAAAGATTGGGTTGAATCTTCTTTTGGACCGAATGAACATTAACAACTTATATTTGACTTAAAGGATCGGCGTCGAAGCCGAGTAGCATCTCATATGGTGTTGACCACCCTGCAGCAATTCCTGAAAAGTCTGCTAGAGAAGAAGAGCATTCAATTCGGGGAGAAAACACAAGTATTGTGTTCCAGAAAAAGAGAGAGAAAACGTAAGTTCAACCCTGGCTCACCTTTTAAAAATGCTAAGATCTCATTAGCAATTCTCCTTACTCTCTGGCATACAGTTCTTATGATGTTAGTTCTGAGAATTTGGTATTGAATCAAATAATAATTCTCTGACTGATATTTTTCTTTGTTCTCATCACTTGTCTGTTTGATACTGTAATGATGTAGCAAGGAGAAATTCTGTCCTGGTCGCCCATGGGAGTTTAAGGGTTAAAGACAACTGTATCTCAGTTAGAATACAAGAGTTTTTAGTTAACTTAATATCTTGCTGCAATGGGCCTCAGCTTGCATCTATCGCTACGATTACATATATTTCAAACGGTTTAATCCCTGCATTCCATACGTATATTTTAGGTACACTGAAAGCAAGCACACGGCTGTAAGCACTGTGGAAGAATCATCCGCTGACCGCCAGTTACCTGCAAAACAGGTAAGTATCTTAGTTCACTTTTCTACTGCTACTGTTACACACAAAAAAGAAAAGACTAGAAATATTGGAGATATTTCAGCAGTAAAAGTGACAATTTATACTAATCATGGCCACTTTTGTTGAAGATAATCGTACTCTTCGTTCCCATTCTTTCATTCCCGATTATTTAGATACAGGTCTAATTTCCTATGAAAATGGATATACCAAGGAGAATCTTAATCCATCATAGTAACTAATAATTTCCTTACGCGGTCATACAGGTCGTAGTCCAAGTGTGTTAGCTTTCTTGGTTTTTTACCACGTTTACTTTGGTAATTGAAGCAATGACTTTTGTAATTTTTTTAGAAAGAGGAAGAAACAGCTGTGCACACCGAGAGTGATTTACTCAAGGAAAAAGGTGAGGGTTGCCCAAAAGTTCTTTTCGATCGATCAATTTACTCTTTGTACGTTCTGCAATTCGGCAGTGTGATCCCGGCGAGGAAAGTTATTAAATGTCTAAATAAATAATTATTATAATTAATAATAAATGGGGAGTCCTGAAGGGAATCTCTTGGTGACTTTCGACAAGATAAGCGAGACCAGCCACTCGTTAAAAAAATTGAAACTTTGATTTCTTAAAGACTAATTTATCTGTTTTAGCGTGTTTTATATTGGAATAACTGATTAAACGACGAAACACGCTCTTCTACGCAATGCAAAACTTAATTTATTTTTATACGGATTTAGACCTCTCCACGTCACAGGGTGATTTTCCAAACAACCCTAAGGATATTCAAGGAAGGGAAAATAGTAAAAGAGGATCTGGGATCATCACCAGCAAAGGTGGCAAAGTCACAGCAAAGGATGTACAGCTCTTATGCCCGTCCGGAGCTGTTGACAATCCAGTGTCGGTGAAGATAACTTTGGAGGACCCTGAAAGGTACTATGGCTTAGTGGTGCAAAGAGGGCTTGAAAATGACATCATATTTGGCGCACCAGTAATCAATCTCTTGCCGAACGGCCATTTGTTTAAGAAGCCAATAACACTAACATCTAAGGTTAAGATCAGTCAAAGAGGTTCTAATTTTCATGATGTTCTGGTGTTACATGGGACCGAGGCCAAGGATGGAACGATTTCCTGGCGGGACATTACCCAAAACACCACTATAAATTTTCCAGAAGATGCAATGGTCACTAACCTCGACCGATTCTCCAAAATTGCTTACCTGCTGACATTGACTCGGATGAGTGCCAAAGAGATTGTGTCACGACTCAATCTGATGCCATTTAACTACTCAGTATCAGCTTTCTTTAGAAAGAGTCCCACAGAGCTTGCTTTGGCATTCATGAGTGAAGACATCTTCCACGAACCATGCTACAAAGAACACGAATCCTCTGCCTTCGTGCAACTGAAAAATGATGGATACCAACTGCTGAGCGCGCGTTCCAGTGGCGAGCATTCCGAGAAGAGTATATATAACTGTGAACAACTTCAAATCTCTGTTGATCTCGCGGAAGACTACCAGGTGCGTGGCAAGCAGACGGCATGTGTTACTGTAGAAACTCCTGTCTGGTGGAGTACTGGAGAAAAAATCAAATTCCCACTGCGGGCAATCAATGATCACGGGATATTATCCGGAAGAATAAAAGTACAAGGTCAATATGGGCACTTCAAGGAGTGCCAGTTCACCGAGGAAGGTTGGTGTACATGATAGAATGATGGTAATTAGGATGACGAAATTATATAAATATGATCAGCCCTCTTTCGATTCCCTGCTTCTTTCTTTAATCTCAACAATGTTTTGGTTTTTGAGAAGTCGTAAGTCTTCGGTATTTCAAATATAATAGCCAGATAAACTGCCCTTTAGCGGATTAACGTTAAGAAAAGTTCCCATCGGATGATGGCTGGATAGAGTGGTCATTCTTTCGAACCCAAGGCGTGTATAACATACTTCTTAAATTAAAGACATTGCCACCTTTCACACTGATACCTCTCCCGGTAAATGGCTCTTGTCAGGTGCACGACTGATTCGGTAGATTCACAGTGATCTGAAACCCTCTCGTTACAATTCCAAGTCCCGTGCTTTCGCGACTCCAAGGGTAGGTTTTGCATCTTCGAATAAGAGTTGCAAAGCTTGACCTTGGATTTGAGCCAAAAAGAGATCAATCTATGGAAAGCAAACTTAGACGCTGTGAGAGTGAAAGCCTCGTAAGCCACGAAAAGAAAAAGTAAAATATCGGAGTTGATGAGTTAATTGAACTTGTTTTACGTCTACACCTATTTACAGATCTACTTGGCTATGTCAAACGGTTGTTGGGGGTCGAGGAAGAAATTTTCAACCTTATTCCCGTTCTAGCCCAAAAGCTTCAGATTCCCGACGCCCATGTTGTTTCTAAGGACGTCGTCCAGCATTGGGAAGATGAGGACGTCCAATTAGAGATACTCTTACAACCCTGGATTGGGACTGAGTCAGCTAATGCTATGGCTAATTTGAAAACACTTCTATCGGATTTAAAGGAGGAAGGTAAGTTAAGGGATTTTAAGCATTCTTCCCATGTGCATTCAAATAATAAGTCAAATACTTCAAGAGCCATGCACTTGATCACGCATGGAACGTCACCGTCGTGTTCTCTGCATCATACTCTTAAAATTGATTTGCCAGCTTTGCGAATTTTTCAAAATGACAGAGCTCACCTGGTCATTACAAGGGGAAAATCTAAAGCAAAATTAGCAAAATAAATGGAACAAAAACAAGCCATGAGTTTGTCACAAAAGGTTCAAGGTCCGTTGAGCATTAGCTCAGTGATAGCTGAACAACCTCTTCTAAACAACATAAGAATTCCATAAATCACCATATCAAGCTTCAGTTCTTGAGGCTTCTCATCCATCATCTCAATTTGACATAAATCTTTATCTTTTTTTTCTTTTGGCATTTGTATTTCGTCTAGACTACAAAGTGACAAAAAGAGGCCAAATGCACATTAGAAACTTGAGAGAGCTTGCAGCGAAGATCGCGCAATTACAAGTCCACGATGCTAGTTTGATGAAGTTTTTCATCGGAAAAATTCAAACTCTTTGCAAAGCAATGGTGAGAGATTGTTGCATTCAAGTAGAGAATTCAAGTGAAGACATCGATAGAGCATCGTTATCCGATAACTGTGCAAAGCACCTTGAACTTCGACAAAAGATTACTAAAAGAACAGCTGTAAAGTATCAACGATTGATTTCATCGAATGATGAATCAGTCGTGAAAATGTTTACTGAGATTGTTCCTGATCTCATTCAAGACGTGAAAGTCATATTTGGCGAGAAGACAATTCCTCCTGTACTCAGTGGTCTCAGAGGACTAGACGAGAAAACTCTGGAGCCAATGGCGTCCAGCGTTCGAGAATCTCAGGAAAACAACAAAATCAAAAAGCTTGTTTGTCATGTCTGCAAGATTGTCGAAAAGCTTTGCGAGGTTAACTGTAACAGCAACAACCCACCTGAGCGTATTCGAAAGCTGGGCCAAAGTTTAGCGATTCTGCCCATGCTGGACATTTTACAGTCATTTTTCTTAAAGTGTCCAGAGGAAACCCGGTTGCACAAACGGTTGGAATTGCTCTCGGTTTGCGTAAGAGACATAGTGTCCGATGAAATAGAAGTCGACGAGGCGATTATGCGTGATTTTTTCGACCTTTCGGCTAGTCTAATACACTTCGCCAGATTTGATCCAGCCAGAATGGTGAGTTTCGAGGTGAGTGACTCGAACGATTCCACCGTACAGTGCCAAAGGGGAAGCTTAACGTACATGAAGGAAAGTGACACGTACTATCAGGAATTCTTCTTTGAAAAAGAAAAGGGGCAAGATCTGCTGCTCAACGCAGTCGCAACCATCAATGTTGAAGGAAGAATTCTCAAAATAGATACCGGTGCATTCAAGTCAATTATCAGCATACTACCGGTATCTGTGGAGGAAACGTTCGACCAATGCTGTACTTCATTTAGTTCTACTGTTCGCGTGAGGAAGCTGAAGGATCAGAACTCCTCCAACATCAGAGTGGTTCTTTGTTCTACAGAGGAGAAGATCCTATTAGTGTTTCTCGCAGCGCTCAAACGAGAACTAAGGGATGAAGTGGATTGGAAAGGGTCAGAGGTTGTCCCTTGCAAACTCACGATGTGCACCCGTGAGACAGAACTTCAAAAAACGAGTGTTTGTCTTCGCTTGGTTTACAAATGGAAATCCGCGGCACTTTGTCTTGAAAGTCAAGACTTTGTCACTGATGCTCCCTTGAATACCGACAGCACTTGTGGTAAGTATTCCTCGTAGGTCAGCAATTTTTTTTAAAGTTCTACAAACACTGTTCATGAGTGCATGTCACCCCCCTTCAATTCCACGAACGAGTGATTCTGTGTATTGAATAAAGCAACTTAGCATTCCTTGGGTGTCTTTGCGATGCGACCTGACCTCAGAGCATAATTTCTGTTACTGTCCTCGTGATAACTATGTTCTTTAATTTTTCTCCAGGAATGGGTGTTTTGATAGATGGACAAGCGGCTCTTGCACCATTACCAATTACTGAACGTAATCTCGTGCAGGTTTTAGCTGATCAGCGGTCGCAGATACAAGTTCCTTTGCAAATTAATATAGGTAATGTAGCAGTGGAAACAGTTTTAACTTTCCTGGGGTTTCAATGCTGCAGAATCATTGTGGCATATCCAAGGGGTGAAGTCTATGGATTTTCCGTTTTAAGGAGGCCAACTGTCTCCTCAGGAGTTCTTTTATTATATGTAACATTCCATCGAAATTTTATAGATGGGAATTCATGAAAAGACTAACCCCTTTAGAAAGACTTCCCTCGTGCGTTTCACGACTTCTCAGCTTTTCTCTTTTCCTGTTCCTCGCAATTCTTTCAGAGCATCATCAACACGTTACTCAAGTGCAAAACATCAAAGACGTAAACATAACCGCTGAATGCTGCGCAGTCGGAGACCAGGCTTCCTTTTCCATTCAGAAACCATCAACTAGCCCAAGGTTTGTACTGTCTGTTACCTGCTTAGAG